GTGGAATCGCTGGGAGAGGGAGAGGCGTAGGGGAGAGGGGTGGGGGGCAGGACTGCACGGTGACTGGGGGGGCAGGGGTCTCCTTTCGTTTTCGGAAAGAGAATTTTCAGGAAAAGCCTCCCTCTCCTGGCAGTGAAAGCTTAGTTCCTTCAAGGCAAATACGGAACCCTACACAGACCCCAGGCACTGCTGGCAGGAACAGGGTCACCCCTCCGCCCCCGGAACTGGGCCATTGTGGGGGTGGGGGGCAGCCATCCCAGGGGCATCTGCGTTGGGGGGCTGTCAGAGAGGGTGGTGCTGCTGGGGACAGCAGGATGGCGGGGCCTCAGGGCCAGTACACTGGACATCACTTGTCCCCACTGTCACCCCAGAGGGACCCCAGCTAGCTGGAGGGGCACCCCAAAGTCTGACACTCTAGTAAGGCAGAGGTTAATACCATTGCACAGGTGTAGGGACCCGGCAGGGCTGAGGCCTCCCTTTCACATTAGCTTGGCAAGACCGGGAGACCCCCCCTTCCATGAAAAACAGCCCGTTTTCCACCCGGAGCCCAAGGCACGTGGGCAATGTTCCCCCTTCAAATTCCAGTCCGCATCAATCACCCCCGTGTCCCATTCCAAGAACATCTGGCCTGTCTCCCCCCACCCATCACTGCCCCCCTTCCCCTCTCCACCAGCCTTCTGCAGTCCCCTGTGTCCCTGGCTTTCAGGCCTGTGTGCCTATAGCAAGGAGGGCCGGGAGGGAGCCTCCAGCACAGAAGCCTGGCTGCATTGAGGTTGCTCCCCACTCTGTGGCAACTTGTAAATTTGGGGGTGTCGAGGATTTACAAAGTACTTGTCTGCTGACCCTGGTTCCCTGGGACCCCAGAGCGGATTTCACGCCCTGGAGGAGGGCCTCTGCTTCCCTTGGCCCTGCTCTGGGGTCCCACCTCTCCTGCAGGCCTGCTTCCCAGGCCGGGGATGGGCTCTCCCCCTGTCTGGGGCTGCCCAGGCACTCCTGCCAGTGGCCATCTTGGGAACCCCTCCCCTGCTTTCTGCCCCAAGCAGGCACCAGCCCTGGAGAAGCTTCTGCCAGTGCTTGGAGACATGCGCTTGGACCTTGGAGGTAGGAAGGCTGAGGCCACGTTGGGGTGCCAGGCTGGGCCAGCAGGGAGAGGGGGCCCCCATGCACTTCCTCCCTGAGCTGGAGGCTGCCCTGAACCCTTGCCTTATTTAGTCACAAGTTCGGCTAAAGGGGCAGGGTTGTCGGGCAGATCCGGGTCACTGTAGGGCTCAAAAAGGGCACTGGCCGCCCCTGGCCAGGACTAGCGGCCTGGGTCTCTCTGACTTCTGGCCCCCCACGGTAGGAAGGGACCTGCCAGCGACCCCTGCATGTTGTGTGGCTGGGATCTTCCCCTGCGCAGGTCTTGGCAGGCAGGACCTTCAGTCCCAAGTGCCACCCTCCCCACCCCGCCCTGCTCCGGCCTGAGGCGGCACCAGCCTCGCCTCTGGATCTGCACACCCATATTCCAAAGAGAACAATCATCCCCCCAAGTACTCAGACTCGCCCCAGCGCCCAGGCCCCGCGGCTCCGAGGCTCCGGCCGCGCCGGTTCCCTTGCTCCCGCCCGCCCCGCAGCCGGCCTTTCCCGTTCCCGGGTTTCCTCCCCCAGCTCTGGCTCCGAGCTGGCCGCTCCCCCGGTCCCTGGGACCAAGCCCAGCATTTTACAAACCAAGCTCCGTGCTCCGGGAGTCCCCTGAGTGCCCCCTTCTCGCCCGCCCCCACCGCAGGGCGCCCGGCCGCTGAGGCGAAAACCTTGCGTTCGTTCAGCTCCCAAAGGGACCCCCACTCCACGGCAGCCCCGGCTGGAAACGAGGGACCCAGGCCCCAGCCAGAACGCCAGGACCCGACACCACAAGGCACCAGAGGCCCCTGAGCAACGAACCAAAAGTCAGAAGTACGTGTGGATCGGGTGGGGGCCCCGGGGCAGGGGCTGAGTGGGTGCTCCCTGCACGGACCCGGCACCCCCGTTGCACTGTTCTATGCAGTGTCTGAACTGAAGACACCTTTAAAACCGTTCCTGGTTTGTCTCTCTCTGCACGTGCTGGGTCCCCCACTGCAGGCCCGGAAGAGCGGCCTCGGTTGCTTTGGGCTTGGGCACGGCAGGAGAACACAGACCCACCCACCTCCACCGCCAAAGCTCTCCAAGACCCTGGAGCAAGCGCCCCTCTGGGGCAGCCGGCCTGTGCCTCCGCCCCAGTACTTGCTCCGTCAGCTGGCCAGCCGCCACCAGGGAACTTGCCCCAGAAGCATCTCAGGAGGCCCTGGCTCCGGGGCCTTTCTAGTGCCCCCCACCCTCCGGCCCACACTCACACACAGGAAGCCTTGCCGGCCTTGAACGCGATGGGATTGTGACACCGGTGCTCCTAAGGCCCTCTGTAGGGCTCAGGTGTGTCCCCAGCCTTGGTCATTACCTCACTCCTCACTGTCCAGAGCCTCCAGGAGGGCTGCAACTGTCACCCAGTTCGACACTTGGGAACACCGAGAGGCCAAACCACCAGTGGGAGGCCCCACAGCCCGCAGCCCAGGGCAGGGAGGACCAGGTCTCACGTGCCCAGCTGAGCCAGCTTTCCCCAGTTCCTCCTGGATTTATGACTTACAAGTTTTCCATCCTCTTTCCCCTTCCTCCAGCTCTGTCCTCACCTTGACCCGGCCGTCTCCCCTGCTCCCCTCCCCGTTCGTCTGGCTTCCTCCACCAGGAGCTCCCCTCTGAGGACCTCAGCGCTGCTGCCCGGACTGCAGGGAGCCTGCTCTGCCCACACCTGAGCCCCCAGGAAGAGAGGCCCCAGGAGCAGACCCTGAATCCCAGATTCCAGTTGTGTGACTCTGAACACATCCCCAGCCCCACTGGGTCACCTCTCCTTGTGAAAGAGGGGTTGGGGGCTGCAACTGCCCAGGGCTCCAAGCACCAGAGGAGAACAGGCCCCTGTACACAGCCTGCTCTTGTACACTGGGTCCTGCCCCGGGAGGCTGGAGACACTCACCTGCATGGGGCAGGGGCTGCGGCTGGCTGCTGGCCTCAGTTCTGAGCAGATGGGGGTCTCTGGGCCACAGGCCGCAGCAGCTCACCTCAGGGCTGGGATCTCGGGCAGCTCTGGCCGACTGGGGCTCGGGCTGTGGGGCAGCCTTGGCTGGGGGCTGGGCCAGACGAGGTGTGGGGCCCTGGGGCTGGGGACTGGAGTCCCCCTCCTCTTCCTCGAGCTCAGCAGTGACTCTTCGGCCCCTGGGGAGAAGCCAAAAGATGTTCCTAAGATGATCTCTTTTAAAACAATCCTTCCCCCAAACCAGAGCCTTGGTCCCCGGCCCCTCCCCTGGCTGTTGGGTGGAGAGGCTCGCAGGTCACCTTGTCAGGGTTTGGGTGGTGGCTCCCCTTCTGTCCCTCCGTCTGCCTGGCTCTCCCTTTTTTAAAGTATAGAGGAAGGAGGAAGGTGCCCACAGTTCACCCAGAGCTGGGCTTCCCAGCAGCCACGCCTGCAGAGATGCCCGTGGGGCAGCCAGAGACCTTTCTGTTGGACGGGCTGCCCCTTCCTGGCCAGGGTGGACTTCTGCCTGGGCATGGGGGCTGAAGGCTGCCCACAAACAGCTCGTCTGGGGGGTGACAGCACACAGTGCAGACATCCTCCCTTCCACCCCACCCCACAACATCCCCCCTTGAACAGAAGCAAGGAGGGGCCGGGCACCAACCAAAGGGCACAGCTCAGCACTGAGAAGGCAGCTGAAGGTGGGGGAGACTGGGCTTCTCTGGGGAAGGGAACCCCTTCCCCACAAATGCAACACTGGGTGGACAGAGGAGTCTGCGGCCCTGGGTGGAGGGAGAGAAACTTCATGACAAAATAACGCCCCCTGGAGAAACTGCCTTTGCCCGGCACTCAGCGCCCAGGCAGTGGGGCTGGCGGGGGGCGGGGGCGGGGCAGGGCAGGAGGCCGGCGTGCACCGTCAGGAGGGGGCCTGCTGTGGGTACCAAGGGGCTGCTCCCCTGCGTTGTCCTTCCCAGCCTCTTTTCCAGCTACATGGTGGGATTCTCTGGTGGTGATCGGGAGTGTAGACAGTGGGAACAGAGAAGCTTTACTTTATAAATGGTATGGAAAAAAAAAGCTGCTTCAGAATCTCGGGGCCCTGGCCCCTCTGCACAGTCTCGTGTTTGTCTGTGGTTGGGATTGGGCGGGGGGGGGGGGCACGCCGTAAGAGGGAACTTCTTACCCAGAAAAACCCTGTGCCTTTTACATTGGCACAAACAGCCGTGTCCTGCTGCTGAGAGCAGCAGCCCTCCCCTCCACCCCTGCCCCTCCCATTTTGCCCGACAGTGAAGGAAAACCTCTTCTCCCTGCCAAAGCCTCTGTGGCTCTGGGCAGCTCTGTGGAAGGGTCCTCTGCCCACCTGTCTTTCCTGTCCCCTCCAAAGTGGAAGCTCGCCCAGGGCCCTGGCAGCAGAGGTCACCCCCTCCTGCCAGCTGCCCCAAGCCCCCAGCCCACCCACACCTGCACCCTGAGAACGTGGCACTGCTCACACACAGGTGGGGGCACGTGAGGGGGGAGCCCAGGTACCTGTACTCTAGTCGCTGCGTGGTCCCCGAAGCTCTGGGGCGGTGGATGAAGAGGACTGGGGAGTCACTGGTGCCCCAGGCTCTCTGCCGAAACTGCCGGGCCGGTGGTCCGCTGGCTGGGCCAATATTAGCAGTCGCCGCCAAAGCAGGGGGTGCGCCGGCTGTGGTGTCCAGAGCCTCCAGCCGAGCTGACGCGGAGGAGGCGGAGGAGGGCGGGGACGAGGCTGAGGCTGGAGAGAGGGGGAAGGGCGCTTTTAGAGCGCGCATCGTAAGGGCCCCCAGAAGCAGGAGCGCCTCCACCACCGAGCACGGCCCCTGCTCAGACTCCGGCTGAAATCATAGTTTTGCCCCTCACCTCCTCGTCGCCTCCGCGCCTTGCCTCGAGCCCCTCCAAATTTGGGTCGCTGTGAGCCAACCTGGCGGTGCCGGGGCTGCCGGGGCAGCTGCTGGGGGCACCCTCCACGCGGGGCACGGCGGCGTCAGGGGGCGGAGACCCGGCCCACCCCCGCCGGCGGGAAGGCCGCGTGGGCGTGGGCACCAGCCGGAAGCGCGCCCTGCCGGCTGGGAGGTGCGGCCCTGTGGGGGGTGGGGGTGGGCGGGGCCTCGCTGGATTGACACCTGGCGGTCACTTGACACCCTGGCGTGCCGGTGGGCGTGGCACGGGTAAAATGGGGGCGGGCATAACGGGGAAAGAAGCAGGGTTCGAGAATGATCGGAAAAACCTTTCTCCAGGGGCATCAGCGCAGCTGCAACTCAGCACGCTCGCATCTGCTCTGCTTCTCGAGGCCGGGGGCTCACCTGGGAGTGTCCTCCTTCACTAGGGACACCCGCTGTCACCCCCCAATGCGTGTGTGGTGCTGGGCACTGAGAGGGCAGCAGGAAACGGCACTCCTGGGTAAGATGACTGGGTTCACAGCCTTTTGAGCTCAGGTGAGACTCTAATCAAGGCATAGACTCAGAGGCGTCAGCACCGAGGGGGAGGCCCATATTCGGGTGCTGCCTGATGAAACTCAGTTTCCCTGGGAGTTTGCACCTCATCCCGGAGCCTGCACGTAAGAGCAGGAGGCAGAGCCAAGGCTCACGAAGAGGCACAGACAGGCGCAGCTGCCAGCAGGCCACCAGTCCCCAGCCTCCCCATGCCTCTGTGCCCCAGCACGTTTACCTCACCAAGCTTCCCAGGCTGTGTTGGGGTCTAATGCTCCCCTCTGCCTTTGTCTTTTAAGCCCTCACCTGGACGTCCTTCCTTAGCTGGAGGGACAGGACGCCTGGTGGGAGAGCAGGGCTCTCAGAGGGGGGGGGACTCCAATCTGGTATGGGTGTCCTGAACGGCTTGCAGACACCACAGAGCCAGACCAGCCTCTGGCAGCAGGGCAGGTGGGGCTCCTCCCTGGCTCCTGGGTGGGAGGGATCAAGGGATGCAAAGCCTCCCAGTCAGGTCCAGGGTGCACGGAGGGGAGTCGGTGTGAGGCAGCCCGCAGCTCCCGGGTGCAGCAGGTGCCTGCTCGTGCTGGCTCTGCCTCTGCTCTGGGCTCACGGCCTGCGCTGCCACCTTAGCATCCACAGCAAGACACTGCCTAGGCGTTACAAAGAGCCGGGCCCAGGTCCCTACTGGGAACCTCAGCTGGGACTGCCCGAGCTCCAGGTGAGGCTGTGGAGGGTAAAGTGCCGACCTCATCCAGATGACAGGGTTGGGCGGGACGCCACTGACGGGGACCCTCCAGCGGAGCAGGTGGGCAGCTGCAAGGCCGAAAGGGAAGCAGCCTTTCCAACCCACAGGTCAAGCTCTTGGAAGTGTGGGGCTCCCCACCCACAGAACAGTGTGCTGAGTTGAGCTCTGCCCTGTCTGGCGCCCCATTTCTGGCACAGCTCAAGAGGGGGCTTGTGCCAGTGTAGGTCCATTTGATTCCATGGGAATCTTTTTTTTTTTCCATTAAAAGTTTTCATTTGTGCCTTAACAGAGGCACTGGGGATTGCACCCAGGACCCAGTGCACAGCAAGCACGCGCTCTGCCACTGAGCTGCACCCCTCACCCCCTCCGTCAGAATCTTGAAACCCAGAGTGTTTAAACAAAGGAAGGGGAACAGAGACAAGGGGTCGGGCTGGGGAGGACCCCTGATGCCAGTGAGGTGGGACTGGAGCCTACTGGGGGCCGGGGCACTGTGACTCCCAGCACTGTGCTTCACTGCAGTCCACGTCTGGGACACGGGACCTGCAGGGGACACAGTGTGATGGGAGGGAAGGGACAAAGTTGGGGGGCAGGACTGAGTGAGACCTCATTACATGAACCTCACTGCCTCTTAGGCCTGGAGGAGGAGTACCCCGCCCTGGGGTTCGGGCCAGACTCTCATTCATGCAGGAGAGACTTGACGTACCCTGAGGAATGCCCCCGCACTCTTTGTGTTCCAGCTCTCGGCCGCTTCAGTGGCCTCGTGCTGACACCTGGTGGCCACTCCTAGGATTACAGCGCACAGCCGGAAGGTCTTAGAAGAGGCAATTTGGGACACCCTGAGGAGAGGGCAGCGGGGGAGGCGACAACATCCCCCCTACAAGGGGGCGCCTCCACTGCAGTTTCGGGGTCCAGGTAGGCTCTGCACCTTTGCAGTTGGGTCCGAGGCTGTCATCTGCCCCCACCCTGGCATTACAGAACTGGTGGTGGACGGACGCCTAAGGAGATTCTTCCCCTTGGGGGCTCCTGACCCCAGGGGTGTGGCGAGGTGGGTCCCCAAAGCACAGAGTAAACCTAGGGCGCCTTCCTGAAGCATCTGCTGTGTTCTGAGAATTAGAGAAAACTGTATTGTGTTTATATTAGAATAAAGTCAGACGTATTACTGAGGGGCTCTGGAGCAGAATGTGGGGACCCCTGCCTGGAGGCAAGATCCCTGAGACCAGCAGGGGCGCTGTATCTGGCGCAAAAGACACACCAGCTCCTGGGACGGGTTTTCTAAATCTGACCCGAGCCCGCCACCTTGTGGCCACGTGGAGAAGTGCAGTGGCAGCCTTGGCTTTTCCAGAAATCACTATTGCCATTAGGACCACTTTACAAACTTGGGAGAGCAGAAGAGGAGGTACCAGAACCCCCATCCTGAGCACACCCATCGCCCCGAGAGCCCCGCACCATCTCGTATCGCCCAGCCACCTCCGCGCAGGCGGTCTGAGAGCCCAGGGTGAGGCTGCAAGTTCTCAGCGGGAGGACCGAGGGGTTCATTCTGTGTGCACACACTGCAGTGTATTCAGACGGGGAGGCGAGTGGGCAGGAGGCTGGTGCAGCTCAAATTCCGCTCTGCCGATGGCCCCGGGACAGCCTAGTCACCCCAGGCCTCCACGTGCCTCTGACATCACAGGCTCCACGTGCTGGGGCCTGGGAGCCTGCAGGCCAGTGCCCACACAGACCGCATGCTAACACACGTGAAGGTATCTCTGCCCCCAGCTCTCCCGCCAATGGCACGTGAACATTCTTTCCAGCCCCAGTGGCTGGCAGCTGGGCCGCTCCATCCCGCCTGAGAGGACTGTGGGGTTTGGGGAGAGGGAGACCAGCCAGGTGGGGAACCTCACCCTGGCCCTGGGGCACATGGGACACCCTGGGTCCCCTGGGCCTTGCACAGTCCTTCCCCGGTCCTGCCCTCGGCTTCACTTCAAGACGTGTGATCCCTCCGTGACCCCAGCCCTGGGCCTCCCCGCCGGGGGAGCTGGTCCTTCCAGCAAGGCCCCCCGACATGCCCACTGTCCACCCCGGTAATGGGGCAGTCTGCTGCTTTGCCATGGAAGGCCTGTCAGCTGCGCCCTGTCTTCACCGCCCAGCGGAGACACAGACCTACCGAGCTGTCCCAGGCACTGAGGCCTAGAGAGGGCGAGTGGCTCCCCAGAGACACAGAGCAAGAAGGCACAGGAAGTGCCAAGGCCCACAGCCCTCCCTCGGCCGCCCCCATCTACGTGCCCCGCGCACGGAGGCTGATGCAGTCACCATGGCACCAGGCCTGGGTGGGGACTCCCCACGCACACACATCACCCTAGTGGACCCTCAGCCGCCAAGTCAGGGAGTCTCCTGGAAGGAACTAAGGTGCAGAGATGTTGAGCAACTTTCCCAAGGCCACACAGCCATGGGCAGCGGAGCAAGAACTCAAGCCCCAGCTGCTCGGCCCACTGGCTCTCACCCTTCAGCCCGGCTCCAGCCCAGGGTGGACACCCCCGCTGGCCCCAGCACACTGAGGGTGTCTGAGGAGGTGAGGGCCCCACAGGACTTGGCCTACTGTGTCCTCCAGATGGGTTGCTACACCTTCTTTCTGGCCAGGGCCTGGAGGATGCTGTCTCTGTGTGAACATGTCCCCACTGTGGCTCCAGGGAGGGTGGCACAGACTATATCTGGCCTGCAGCAATCCCTGGGCTTGGTCTGCACCCTCGGCGGTGACAGCCAGATGTGGGCTTGACCCTAAAGTTGAGGCACCTGTGTGGGGACACAGGACACCTCCTCCAGGAAGCCTCCCAGCCTGCCCATTCTGACCTCCTCTGACCTCTGCGGCACTGCCAGCCCTCCCTTCTCCTGTTTCGCAGGTGGCTCTTCCTCCCCCAGGGAGCCTGGCCTTTCTGCCCTCTCCTTGTCCACAGCTGGACCTGGGTGGAGGAACCACCCCAAGCAGGTGACTAAGGACAGACCCACTGTCTAGGCCTCAAGGGAGGAAGGCCACCTTCTATCCTCTCCCTGCCCCTGCCCCTGCCCCTCGGAGCTTTCTTTGGACAGACTGAGCTTGTCAGACTCGGGGGTGCCATGGAGGGCCGGGGAGGCCAGGGAGAGCCTGTGAAGGTCGTGGAGGGCCAGGGGAGGCCAGGGAGGCCAGAGCCATGAGCTTGGGCCTGAGGTTCACCTCCTCCCAGCCCTGCTGTCTGCCCACTGAGTCACCACATGCAACCCAGAGCCCAGAACCCAAGGCCGGAGAGGGAAGGGAATTTCCAAGGTCCCACAGCCAGTGGGCCTTGGATGCGGGAGGGGCAGGCCGGTACCTCGAGGGAGGCTGGGCTGGGTTGGGGCCAAGTCCTGAAGTGAGGCTGGACTTTGAAGAAGACAAACGTATGCTTTGAGACGCAGTGTGAACGGCCACAAGCTAGCAGGGCTGCCGGGGTGCCGGCTCTGTTTTCCAAAAACACAGATGGGCTGGGAAGGGGGTCAGAGCGAGGACGGTGGAATGTGGCCCCTCACCCCCCCAACACCCCACGGGGTTCTGACGGCCCAGCAGCCTGGTGCATGTGGGGCTGTGGGGGGGAGCACCTAGCAGCTCACGGGCTCTGGACCCGTGGGCTAGGGACCTGGAGGCCCACCTTTGTCCCTGGCAAAGCGCAGGGCCAGGCATGGCTGGGAACGATCCTGTGACCTGGACCCAGGGGCCGGCTGCCTGGGGCCACACCTGTGAGCATCTCTGGGTGAAGGGAGCCTGCAAGACAGCACCCACCTCTACCCTCATCCTGAGGGCCCAGGGGTGGCCCCAAGACCCCACGTCTCAGCCTAGTGCCTTGGAGGGTGGGGACGGTGGGGGGATCGCAGTAGCCCAGCTCCTGGGAGCAGCCTCAGTGACCCCTCCAGGGACTTTTGGAGACAATCGCAGGGGTCTGTGGGTCAGCTCCCGACAGCAGCAGGTAGTAGGAGGCGGGGGCTCTGAGCTGAGGTGGGTGGGGCTGGCGGGCTGCCTCGGGGGTGAGCTGAGGACCCGAGGGGTGGGGGCTCAGTGCTCTGCTGTGGGGGCGATGGAGGGGCCCTTCTGCCGACCTCCACTTTCGAAGGAATCTGCCGCGCTGTTCTGGCTCCGAGGCCAGAAACAACAGTGTGGGAGGGAGGGGTGGGCTGGCCACCCCCACACCCTGTTTTTCTGTTTGCTATCTCCACGGCTCCCAGACCCCTGACCACCCCCTACCCCCAAACATTCTTTCTGGAGTTGACCTCTCCTCCCAGCTCTGGGTGGGGAGATGGGGTGGACGTGGGAGAGATCTAACCTTGACCCAGCCGGACCCCCACCTGATGCCTCCTGGGCCCAGGGTTCCCGTCCCCGAAGCCCCCACCTCATCTGAGCCCTGTGGCTCGAGTGGCCAAGGTGGCCACAAGCAGAGGGAGGGACAGCGACAACCAACCCAGGTCCTGGACACCCTCAGCAAGGCTCCAGCTGGGCATTGCTCAGCCATAATGTGGGTGCTGGAGGGGGTCGCCCCGAGGACCCCCGCCCCAGGTCTCCGACTCCGGGCCTAGAGGGCCAGACTCCCACTGGAGACGTTCCTAGAATGCTGGGGACCTGGGACATTTGTCCAGCTGCTCCACCAGGAAGCGGGGGCCCGCGAGAGAGGGTGTGGGCTTGCCGGGCCGCTGAGACCGCGGACACCTTCTTGCCTTCCTAAACCTCGTGGCCTCCAGGGCCCAGGTGGCCGGCGTGTTGGGCGGCCCCCCGCGGGCCCTGTGAGTGCCACCAGGAGGGGACGCAGGCAGCAGCAGCAGACCCCTGCAGAGAGGGCCACCCTCCTGGACGCCAGGCCCCGAGCAAAGGGAAGTGAATCAAAAGTTGGGCTTTGGCGCCCTCTGCTGGTTCTCTCTGTGAATGACCGCTCTGACCACCTTGCCTGGCGTGGACAGGTGTCCTTCCAGAGAAGCCGCCTGCACCGGGGCCCCACCTTGCCTGGGTCCGGGACCAGCCCCCCAGGATGGGGACTCGCAGCCTAGCTGGACACAGACACCAGCTGGGGCTCGGCCTGGGCTCTACCAGCGGGCCTTTTCCAGGAGCTCAGGCCACTGGTTCCTGGCTCCCTTTCTCCAGGCCGGCCCCTGCCAAGTACCAAGCCCTCAAGGGCAGGGGGCCCACTCCAGCATCCTTGTGTCCATCTCCCATTCCCCCTCAGGATCTGCTCAGGCCTGGGGAACAGTGAGGACAGTAAATATTTGCTGCCAACAGGAGAAGGCAAATACAGCCCCAATGGCCAGCTGGAGGGAGGGAGGGGTCAGTTCGTCCGTGCCAGGACCAGATGCAATCCAGGGAGCCAGCCTGGAGGCAGCTACACTGGCAGAATGTCCTTAGTGGGTTAGCACCAGACCCAGCCTCAGCCTCCCCAGTCGGAACACATGTGCTACTGCCCCATCCCATGTGGCATGTGCGACAGCGGGGCGCGGACAGGCCCGAGGGCAAGTGAGTGGGACGTGAACGTGGGGCTGCACTTGGCCCTTGGCCTCCCACTGCCCACGCCAGGGTGGCACAGAGCTGGACCGCCACTGCCAGCCCCCTGGGCGAGTGAAACCCAGACCCCCAGGAGAGGCCGGGTCTGAGGGCATGGGAGAAGGGCCCTCCTAGTCCCCAGAAGGGGCGGCAGAGCCGAGGTCTGTGCGCCTGGCTTCCATGGGGTGACATGGAGGCTCTGGGAAGCAGGGGTGCCTGGGGTTCAGCCCCCGAGGGGGTGTCAAGCAGGAAACAGAGTCTGGTCCTGCCCTTGCCCCTGGGGCCCAGGTGGCCCGGGCAGCCCCTGCTCCCTCCTTCCATGAGCTCGCCTGTGCCGGGTATGGAGACCCCCCACCCCACCTGTTCAAGACCAGTCACCAGGGCCCAGGGGCTGGTGAGAACGGCTGAGAGGAAGGTCTGGATGTCTGAGCTGCGGCGGGGCAGGTATCAGGAGGGGACAGGGGTCAGGCCCCAGCCCAGGCGCTTGGGTTCATTGCCTTCCCCACCATGTAGACGCAAGCCACCACAGGGAGAGGCCCTCAGGCGACACTCCCCAGGCCCCTGCACCACTTGGGCCAGCCGCTCCATGAGCCCTGCCGGCTGGGACAGCCCCCCACACCCTGGGACCCCAAACGTCTGGTCCCTCTCCGCAGAGCCTGTTGGCACCTGAGGGGGCGGGGACACCCCTGGGTCATCCCCAGGGTCTCAGAGGCCTACAGGGCCAGCCAGGACCACAGGCTTAATGCCTGGAGGGCAGCCTGACCCTGACTGACTGACCAGCTCCCCTGTCCCGGCCGCGCCCGGCCCAGCCTTGGGCACTTACATACCTCAGCTCCTGCAGGGGCGCCCCTGCCTCTACCTGTGCAAATGGGGCCGCCTTGGTGACCCCATGGACAGCTCGCTGCACATCCCAGCCGCCTCCTCCCCTCCTCTTCCGGGTCCAGTGTCCGGCCGTCCACCCGCCTGCCCAGCCCTGGCCTCCACTCCAGGGGCGGGGCCCGCTGAGGGCCTGTGACATCTCCCCTGGGTGGGGGTTGTGGATGTGGCCACGGGGACCTGGGTGAGAGCCTTAGGGTTGCAGGGAGGGCTGCCCAGCTGGCCGGGCCCCGGCAGGAGAGCCTGCTCTCGCCTCCTGGCTGGCCTCTGAGGGGTCTGCCACCACCAGGGCCCAAGCGTCCAGCCCCAGGCCCAGCCGCCCCATGGCCTGGCCCGGGTGGAGTCTTCAGGAAAGGTGCAGATTGGTTTGGCCTGGGTGGCTGGCAGGCTGGCCAGGCCTTGGTACAGCCAAGTCACCCTCTGACCTCCCAGGCCGTGGCCAGCCCAGGCAGCCCTGGGGCTCTCGGGTGTGCCAGCAGCAGCGGGGCGGGCGGCCTACGGAGCCGCCCTGTGCAGCATGGGGGCTGGGGAGGGGGGTGTCAGGACCCCTGAGGACAGGAGCTCGCCTCCTTGGGGGGCACTGCCGCGGGCCCTAGTCCCCGTCCACCCACGTGCCCGTGGGCGCCCGGTGCAGGTAGAGAAGGCTTGGAGGGGCCAGTGCAGAGAGAACAGAAGGGGGCCCGACCTTCCTCGCCCCCTTCCCCCAGCCCCTCAGCCCCCAGACCACACAGACGACACCAGCAGGGCTCATTCGGGGGGTTTATTGCAGAGCGGGGGCGCGGAGGGCCGGCGCGCTGGCGGCCGGGGTCCGGGGCCGGGGCCGGGGCAGGGGAGGCCGCCTAGTTGCAGTAGTTCTCCAGCTGGTAGAGCGAGCAGACGCTGGTGCAGCACTGCTCCACGATGCCGCGCTTCTGCGGGCGCCCCTCCAGGCCCAGGGGCTGCAGGCCGCCTGCACCCGGGCCTCCACCCAGCTCCACACCGCCCACTGCCGAGAGACAGTCAGCCCTGGAGCGGGACCCTGAACGGGCGGGCATCCTCTGTGCCCGTCGCGGGGCCTGTCTCCTGCCCACCCCCACCCCCACCCACCTCCCCGCAGCCTGTGCAGGACCGAGCCCCCTCCCACTGCCTCGGGCTGTGTGTGGGGTCCCCTCAGGGCAGTGAGGTGTCTCCCACAGGCATGCAGGCAGGAGGATGGGGCACCCCCAAGACCCTCAGCCCCCAGGGCTTGACTCACTTTGTAAAACCCCTCCCTGAAGCCGCTCTTATCGGAGGAGAGGAAGGAATGGGGCTGAGAGGGGTAAGATGGAAGTAGAGGGGACGGCGAGCCCACCCTTGGGGTGTTGTCAGGGCTCAGTCCCCAAAGATCTGGCCAGTTGAGGATGTGACCAAGAGAGCATCATTTTCCTTTTTAAAACCCCTCCTGACCGCCCCCTGGGCGCCAGCTGGGATCCGGGGCTAGGAGGCAGTGGGGACAGTGGGGTCTCACCCTGAGTGTCCTCCACCTCCCGGCGGGCCTTGGGTGTGTAGAAGAAGCCGCGCTCCCCGCACACCAGGTACAGCGCCTCCACCAGGTGCGAGCCACACAGGTGCTGGTTAGCGAAGGCCCGGGAGGGGGTGGGGGCCCCGAGGGCCAGCAGGGCCAGCAGGGCCAGGAGGCGTGTCCACAGGGCCATGGCGGCGGGGCGAGGCCTGGCAGACGGGCAGGGTTAAGGCCGTGCGGGGACCCCCGGGAGCCCCACCAGCGCTCACCCCCGAGGGCTCCAGGAGGAGGGGCGCACATCCTGCTGCCGGTCAGCAGAGCTCGGAGCCCTCCGGGACACACCTGCTTGCTGACAGCCTCGGAACGCAGCTGGTCCAGAGGGCTGGGGGCTGCTGGGCCGCGCTGCGGGCTTTATAGCCCCCAGCCCCTCCTGGCTCCTTAGGGCCTCCAAGTGGGTGGCAGATGGCGGGGGTTGGTGGGGGCTGAGACTGCAGTTTCTGGGCCATTTCCTTGATGCTGGGTGTGTGAGAACATCTCCGTGGCCATCAGCACCTCCTGAGGCTGCGTCATTAGAGCCTTAATGAGGGGCCTGCTGGCCCAGCCCCCTAGCTCGGAGCTGGGGGCTAGTGTCTGCAGGGACCAGCCCCTCCGGCCTCGCTTGTGCCTCTTCCCCACTTAATCCAGGGAGTGGGGTGGGAGAGAGGCCCCGGGGCAGTCCAAGGCCGGGGTGGGGGGCGGTGAGGCACGGTCTCCTAGGCTCACGGCCCCATCCTCACCCACCCTGGCTCCCCCACAGCTCCTGAGAGGGCTAGGCTCAAGGACCAGTGGCTGTGAGGCCCCCTAGTCTGATCCCCGTGTCTTGTCTTCGGTGCAGGGGCCGCAGGACCGGTGAGTGGGGCCCCACCATGCCCCACCCAGGGCGCCCCTCGGGCCCCCTCTTCCTGGAGCCCCTGCTGTCTCTTCCTGCTGGCCCTTTTCAGCCTGGCTCTCAGCCCCACTGCATCCCCTGTGGTGCCCCCGCCCCCCTGGACAGGCACCTGGAAGGAGACCGGACCTTACCAGCCCCCAACGCTGAGGAAGGGGCTGGGCCCTGCCTTCCCAGGACATCATGGGGCCCCAAGGGATGCAGCCAAGGGATACCTGAGGGTCCCTTTGAAAGAAGTGTATTAAGGCAGAAGGCTGGAGCCCAGGGGTCAGCTGGGCTGCAGGGAGATGAGGCCGGCCATCAGCCCTTCCCTGGGGACTCAGTGGGGCTCGCAGCCATCAGACATGGCCCCTTTGGGGCCTCACAGGTACAAGGGACGTTGGTACAGGAGGGCTAGTCACAGACAAGATGCTTAAGGTACAGCTGATGGAAGGACAGACTGCCAGGGGGGGCTGGGAAGGAAGGCTTTGCCCAGGAGGGTCTTGACGGATGAGCAGGAGTTTGCTGGGATTGGCATCCTAAGAGCTCAGAGCCCATGCCATGATGGTGTGCTGGGGTGAGGGGAGCCGGAGGAAGTGAGCAGGGCTGGGAAGACAGGCTGGTGCCTGCATGTTGCAGGAAGTAAGGAGACAGCCACCTCCCAGCCAGCCCCAGGCTACTCTCTCCAAGGCTCTGGAAGATGCGGGGGGGCTCTAGGTAGAGAACCATGTCCAGACCTCTCGAGTAAGCAGAGCCCAGAATCCAGCCCCACACCCACTTTGCTGGGGAGACTGGGGCCCAGAGATGTCACCTGGGGACCAGCTCGGCTAGTCCGCTGCCAGCACTCATCTAGAGATAGCCCTGGGTCCTGCTCCGGGCAGGCAGGGGCTGCGCCTGGGGTCCCCGTTCCTCTGCCTGCTCTCACAGGCTGGCCTCTGCAGCCCCACCCTCCTCCCAGGGGGACATCGGGCTTGAGGGGAGGGCCCAGCCTGCAGCCCTGCCTCAGAGACCACCAGGGTGAGCCCTGCCCCCCAAACCTAGAGCAGGTGGGGCTTCTGTGGGCCAGGCCCCCACCTCCCTGCTGGGACCCCATGGAGAAGCAACTGCTCAGCCAGGCCCCCTGGGCCTCTGGAGCGGCTGGAGCACAGCACGGGCTGGTCCTCCGGGTGAGCAGGCAACCCAGGCCGGGAGGAGCCTGCTGTCTGGTGCCCGGTGAGGCCTCCGGAGGTGGGGAGGCAGTGGAGGAAACCCTGGGCAGGGCGGGGAGAGTGTGAGGGGCTGTGGCCCTGAGCCTGGCGCAGACACTGACACCGACTCGGGGTGGGTACTCAGAGGGGCTTTTTCTTTTATTGTGGTTGCAGACGGGCAGCACACACTGGACGCGGCACGCAGCACAAGGACACCTGCAGGCAGAGCTGGGAAGCGGCGGGAGGGCGAGCGGGCGCAGCAGGCCCCTCGAGCAGGGAGGGTCTCGGGCAGGCTCTCAGGTGCCCTGTGAGCACCAAAGGGAGGCGGGAGACCCAGGGGGGCGCCCGGCACCTAGCTGATGGCATTCAGCGCGTGGGCCAGGGTGTGCAGCTCGTCCTGGATGCCCTCCAGGGAGCGCCGGATGGCGTGGGGACTGTCCAGCACATCGATGGCCAGCGTGTATGGGTCGAACTTCACAGAGAAGGGGCGTTGGATGCGGGAGGCGTAGCTCCTGGTTGGGGGGGCAGCACAGACCCCCTGTCACCCAGTGGGGACTCGGAGGCACTGGGGAGACGGGGAGGAGCTGGGGCAGCTTGGGGCAGGGTCTGCGGCCTCCAGGAGAGCCAGAGGGTTAGGGGCCGGGCCTCCCTCATCGCAGCTCGGAGCTCCCAGGACTTTTCTGAGCCTCCTGGGCCCCAGAAGCTCATTCTGTCCAACCACTCAGACAACAGAGGCCTCGGAGGCCTCCTCCAGGGGCCAGGGGTAGGGGGCTACAGTGGGGAGGGACGGGCCTTTTCCAGCCAAGCCGAGGCCACACCCTCCACCACTCCCTGCAGGCTTCCTCCTCTGGGATGGCTTCCAGGCTGTGTGTCCTGGAGGGTCCGTTACGTCCCTGCCCCCAAGCCTGTGTGTGGGATCCAAACCCCCTCCCTCCTCTCTACATCAGGCACCCAGCCCCGGGCCTCAGTTTCGCCTGTGACTACAGGAGCTTATCTGGAAAAGAGGCCCCTCCCAAGGGTGAACAGGTCGGGTGTTGGCTCCGCCCTCCTCCCCCCAGCACTGCTGGTCAACCACAGCCCCCTCTGGAAGCTCCCTGCTCCTCCAGGCTCCCCACCCAGGCCCTCAGCCACCCTGGCCCTCCTCCTCTGTCCCATTCATGGCCCCGGCTGCTCAGAGGGCAGGAGGCTGGGAAGGACCCCACACATCCGCCTCACAAAGTCAGTCTCCACTTCCTGAAAGCCTGGCCTTGACCTGGCCCCCAGCCCGCAGGTCTCCCCTCCCCAGTCCTTCTGGGGTGCAGTCGTGGGAGGGAGGCTGGACGCCAGGTGTGCGCAGGCCTGGCCTGCTGGCTGGTTCGCCCCGCTGCGGGGCACAGGGGAGCC